ATCAAATCGAATTTTTTTTAATAACCAAAATATGTATTTGAATTACAAGAATATTATTCAGTGAATACACAATTAAAGAAAGACTTCGCGGCAGTAATTTGAAGCCACCAGTAAACTGAATCATTTCACTTAATAATAATCTAATTTGACATTTTAACAATTTGCGTTTTTTATATTTAAACGTAAAATGAATAAATATATTTATTGTACTGTTCTCGCAAATTGCCAATAATTTTCATTTTTTTTTTTTTTTAGGATATCCGCTGTTCTTGACCCCAACGATGCAGAGCAACATTGTCAATGATACAAAATTATTATTATTATTATTTTTAATTTGTTGAACAGTTTAAATGGTGCTGTATACATTTCAACCGTGCGCAAAAGGCAATAATGAAATTCACAAGCAACTCAACATGTGCAAACGTTTGTTGTGTTGAAACACTATGGCAGTTTCTCGAGGAGAGGACAAATAGTTTTAAACTTCAAAAGTGGTCACTCTCTTCTAAGCTCGCTTTTCTGCATGGCAAATCGTCAAATGAAAGCCTTTGCTGCAAAGTGCAAATTATATAGGCCGAAATTCCACTAGGCCAGCTAGAGCAATATGAAAGGGGGATTTAATGCCTAATTTATACACAATGGCCGTCAGCAGATTCGGCTGCACTTGATGGTGGTCGTGTGTGGGCATGCAGGGGGTTCACACTGAAAGGTATTCCAGACACGTCTGCTCGTAAGGGCGCTGCCCCTACCAGCAGGGACCAAATAAATATCAGATCCCGAATCCGGTGATAATTTTTGCCTCGACGCCGCGCTATCCAAATAAAATCATATTAGACGAGCGGACCGCGCGCGCCTATGGCAATGTATGCAAATTGAATTTTAATCAGCGCAGCTGCAAGAGAGCAAGCAAAAGCAGGGTGTTGTTCCACCGAACCGACGATTGATTTTCACGAGAGGGAATAACGGGAAACTGAGAAAGGGGGAATTGAATATATTATGACACCAGAACGTAACTGAGAGAGGGAGGCAGATTTAATTTTGATAAAAACATGAATAATTGATGGCGATTGAATTTCGTGATATTTAAAAAAAAACTCCCCTATTCCATTATACAAACGATAATTTGATATGTTTGGAGCAGACGAGGAAACAGTAAAAATAACATCATGATGTCTTTATTTTCAAATTTATATTGTGGTAAAAAAAAAACTGAAAATATGTCTGATTGTGAGGTTAAAATTTTTTTCATTAATTTTTATAGCAAAAGTACGTGAAAAACAGAAGAAATTTTGATCCCTATTTATTATAACATCAAATTTTAAATAAAACATTTAAATATACGTCCAGAAATGACTTGCTGTTTTATTAATCAACATGTATTTAAACTGATTTAAGAGTTTATCATTTTCGGAAACCTTATCATTATCTCATTCATCACGTAAAAAATTTATTTTATTTGAAATATACGATTGTAGGGGAAGAGAAAATTATCTTGTTTTTAATCTGGTACAAGCATTTGTGTAAGGTGTTCAATTTAACTGTTCCTTTCATCTCGTGGCATCAGGAATTTTTTTTTTTTTTTCAATAAAATGTAACAAATTTTGACTTTTTTTAAATTTTTAACCAAAAATTGTCACTTTTAAAATTTTTACACAATTTAATTAGCTTGAATGTGAATATAAATCTAGATTCTTGAAATGAAACTAAAAAGCGATAATGAGAAATAATCATTGAGATTATTTTTTAAAAGAAATTAAATCATGCGATTTTTTTAAAGAATCCAAAGTTGATTAGAAAAATCTTCAAGTAAAATCCATGTACATATTAAAAAATGTGCTTGATGGTGTTAAAAAAGTAGTTTGAAACGTTATTCGATCTATGCATAAATCCGGAGTTTGGAAATTTTTATCATCTTCTCGCTTTTCTACATCAATCACCGATATATTGGTTGTGTCACCTGGGCCAATTTCTTTTGGAAGTGAACAACAATCAAGAACGACAAAGCACACAACTCAGCGCGATTGTGTGTCGTGTGTGTACAATAAAAGTTGTTTCTCTATTTCTCACAATACAACTCAGCCATGCATACAAAAGTGCCGACGTTCCTCGGTTGACAAAAAAATTATTGATGAGCCACTTCGGCACAATTCCCCGCAGCAGAAGCAAACCTCTTTCTTTTCGCAACAAAGATATTCGCGCCGATTTATTCAACAAACAAACGGTCCCGCCGCTGTTGTTGTGTTGCTATATTATTATTGATTCTCTCGTAGCTGCTGCTTTTTATGCATTATATTCCGCGCCGTGTGTTTTTTTCTCCTTTGGAAATTTTCGAGAGAAAAACAAACAGTCGCGGTGCGTGTGTGCGCGCCGGAATGAATTTGATTATATTTACTTAAGAGCAAAACGGGGCGGTAGCGCGAGGTCCCGACTTTTTACGAGATTATCTGCAAAATAAATCAATTAGAGTGCTGAGAACTTTATCCTCTTTCATCTCTCTGGCGCGACGCGGCCATGGAAAAATGGGCGTAAATTATTTTTAAAGGGCGCTCGTCGAGAGCGGCGCAGAGATAATTCGGCGGAACACTTAAAACTTCCTAAGCCGACAGCTTTATAAATTACCGCGCGCCTCGGCCGGATTTTTTAATCACGCCCTCGCGCTCTCTCACTCGCTGGCTGCGACTTTCAATTTTGCGTTTGCACACAGTCAGACGTTCTCGCCTTTATTTTTGGCCAAGAAAAATTGCGGCTGAAAATGAGCCGTTTTATAAATGTAAATTTCCCTGCTGGCTCACCTGCTGTTCAGAGGCAAAGGTCTTTGTTCGCAATTTTTCTCTCTGAGCCCGGAGCTTGAATTTTTGGCCTAACAGAGAGCTGCGGGAATTCTAGGAGAAAACTTCTTTCGTCTTCACGTGCGTTTATGGCAAATTGCATTCTTTCTCCCTTTGTTTTGTGCGCTGGGGTTTCACGCTACCTGTGAGGCATACTTATCAACCAAATGGAGGTCGTTTTGGAGAGAAGAATTATTGCAAAAAATAATGTTTTTGGTAGGCAGGCAATTTTGTGTCAAGAAATTTCATTCAAATAAAAAAAAATATGAATATGCTAAAATATTTTTGAAACAAGAGTTTCATTAATTAATTTTTTTTTTTATATGAAATTCATCACATTCAATGTTTCTAGATTGTGCCGATGAGAAGTCTGTTAAATCTTTTATATAAAGTTCTTATATCCATTTTATAATTTGGTCGATATAACAATTTAAAATTTTTGGTTGACATAACTTTTTGTATATCTAAAAATATAAAAATCTTTCAGGATCAAAATCAATATTAGTACAATGTTTTTAAATTCAATTCTAAAAGAGACTTGTAGTTAAATGATTTTGAAGGTTTTCTACTTGATTATTTAAAAACAAAAATTATGAGACAAAATTGCCTCTCATTTGAACAAATATTTGAAATATTTGAACAAATATTTTTGTTGAAAATCAGGATGGATGTGTAGCTCTATAATTAAAAATTTAATTTCCTCATTTTTATTCCTGTTTGCTATAATAACTGAAGCTCAATTTATCTGTTGATAATATTTGATACTAATTTCCTGTCCGATTCATAAATATTTATGGCTTATGTTTATTACATGATAAAAATTTAATGATAATTTTCTATCACTTGTAAAATAAATTTAAAAAAATTGGCTTTTACCTTTAATCCATTCACAAAAAAGGCGTCCATCTTCAGCAGCAAATTACCGTAAAAGAACAAAATCTGAGTGAGCCTTAAATAAGCTCCGGCCCTCATGCTGATCCTGCGAATTGTGTTGCGAATAGCGCGGTCGACGTCGACGGCCCATAAAATTATGCACTCAGGGCGTTTGGGTGAGTGTGGCGAAAAATCTCTTTTTCCGCCCTCGCCGGCCATAAATAAGCAATTTAAATCCTAGGTGAAGATGCTCTGCTTTTTATATATTCGGGAGCGTTGCAAATAGTTTTCCCTTTTAGGTTTCGCGCTCGCAGACAGTGATGCATGGCCTTTATGCAGCGGCGAAGACGCGAGATTTATGGGCGCCGAGAAGCAGCGAGTGTGCTGAATGATGGCCCAGGCCGCTTTTCCATGCTGCACACAAGTGGTGGGTGGGTAACGGGGGTTATCCTGGTTCAATAAATATCCAGCTCGGGGGAGCGGCAAACACAGATATCATGCTACACTTAAACCCCGTTGCTAACTAAATGGATCCGTCTCTCTTTCCACGCACAGAGAGCGATGCTTTTCTCTCATTCTGTCCGCACGGACCAGAGAGTTATGAGAGCCTGGCGACAACTAATTTGAATCGGCACTGGGTCCCGCCGCCGTTTCATTGTTGTGTGTTGTTTTGCTCGTTTTATTGTCCTGCTCTGCTTTGAAAGCAGCCCTTCGCCGCCCACTGTTTGAAGCACCAGTCGTCGTTATCGAGCACTGAATTATTCGCGCAACGATTCATTCATTATTCGCCACGAAAGGGTGAAATTTCCCTTCAATGCATTGGTTTTGGGTGCAGATAATTTGTATTATGCTCTCACTTTCCTTTATATTATTTATTGAATATTTTTATGATTTTGGTCTACCAATATTATTTTATAGTATTTTATAAATTAAATTGAAGCGAAAATTAATAAATTAAAATTATTATCAGACAGTCATCAGTGTTTTTCCTCCAACGCTTGGCTATTTCTTCCTCCTTTATAATTAGAAAATATTCACTAATTTCACTGGTCCTTATTTGTATAGAAAAATTTCACTTCTAAAGGAAGGCATTGGAAGAATGTGTAGTATGCGCAAGCCGGCTCCCTAATGAGAAATACCAAGAGATTGCTCTATTTTTACGTGTTGGTTGCTGTCAAAGCATGTAAAATACTGCCAAAAATAAATTCTAGGAGGAGGAGTCAGTTTTATTTTGTCCAACTCCTGTATGTACTAACCTCCCTCCTCAATCCTGCTCTCATCATTGTCAGTAGTCGTCAAGCGTCAAGGCAGCGGTATGTATTATAAAAATTGTGAACGTGTGCAGTGCTAAGGGATGTGACTGCAAAAGCAATACCCACTGGAAACTCTAAGGGTCGCTTTCCAACAGAAAATCTGCCACCGGAGGCTACATCACCCGAGATTCAATCGACTAATTAAATCAGAAATGGAGACACTCGGCAGGTTAGTGCTAAAAATTTAATGAAATGATTATTATTTAATTTTAAAATTTAAATATAGGGTCAAATCTAAAAGCTCACGTGGACCAAAATTAGATGCTGGTGGGAAAAGTAATTGTTTTTTTGTCACATTAATTTCCAAATTTTTATTTTCAAAATTTTCTAGTTGCCGTAGTCAATCATGATCATTCTTATTCGAAGAATGCTGAGAAAGCAATGTCAACAGACATCAAAATGGAATCTTCAGGTAAATTTTGTTTGATTAAAAGAGCAACACAATATTCTCACAGTAATTATAATGTTAAACACTTAGAGCTTCTTGACAACAGCGTCAACATTGACTGTGACCTAAAAGTAGCTGACCAACATTTGAGACGTGATGAGCCTGATATAGATCAGAATGAGGAGAACTTTGAAAGAAAAGATGAGAACTTGTCAAGGTGGTAAAAATTTAAAATTTTTTAATATTTAAATTTTTAGGCTCCTTAACTTTCAAAAATATTGTGTAGCAATTTTTATAAAATAAAAAAAGATTAATAAATTAAAATTTAAAAATTCATAAAAGCAGCTCTATTTTGCTCTGTGAAGAAAATAATTAAATTAAACCAAATTTTTAACAAACGCAGTTTAATTTAAGTAGCTAAATTGCGAAAATAGAAATATTTTTTTTCTCACAATAACACTCTTTTCTGTTTTGTCCTATTTTTCAAATTTTTTATTTTATTTTGTGACTTTAATTAACATTATTTTACTGACGGATTTATCTTTAATTAGGACTTTTAAGAGAATGAACAGCCAAGATTCTCCTACGCCAAGGAAAAAAAGGTTACAAGTGAACTCGGAAGAACAATCCCACAAAGGCATAAATTCTTCAGATGAGAAGAAGGCACAATCAGACAACTATGAACAGTTAACTCGCGCTGAACTTATCAAATTGCTCCTCCTCAGGGATAAACAAATCAAAGCTCTGACCATCAGGAACAACATTCTCAAAAGAAAAGGTGAGCTTTGGAGTGCCATGGCCAGAGAGAATGTGCAACTGATAAACAAAATTAAGGAGCTGAATGACCTGCTGAGACACCTTGAGGAGGTGAACAAATATAAGTATAAGTTAAATGTAATTAACCTTGCTTAGTATAAAAGCATGATTAATAAAATGAATTAAATTCACATTAACATTCTTTTGTTATACTGAATTGTTTTTGTTAAATTTGATGGAAAGTGGCCCCTTCATATGAACAAAATTTCATGATGCAGAAATAAACTCTGCTGCGGATTTTCCCACTTTTCCCGTCAGTCAATACTCAATTTTGAAAGGCTCATTTTGCAAAATCGCATAGTCATCCAGGAGCTGCCGAGGATTTCCCAATAACACGGAACCCATTTTCAGCCAAAGCCCTGGGTGCTAAACGATTTTCCATTCGCAGCATTTTTTTTCCTCTCTCTCGATTTTCCATCGGAGCGGCAAAAAAGATCCCGCACTTGGAGACGCAAAGATTGTCTTAATAAAATTCATACGTTACGACGACTTGAAAATCTCGGCCTGAAATATTATTTCACCCCGGCTCGGTGCTGGTAATAATCTTAAAAGATCTCGCCTGCAGTTTGTGCGGGGCTTCAAACTGCTCTGCTCTCTCGCTTGCTAAAGGATGAGTCGAATATAAATCTGGTAACACCTGCTAGCCTCATAACACGGGGCGGATATTAAAGTGCACGCATTTGTAGCTGTGCTACCGGCTGTCTGATGCACCTCCGTGCTTTGCCCGCGAAATTTATTAATTAATTTCAAGTGCGCTCTTCTTGTAATTAATGATCACCGGTGGCACGATTTTCTCACCTGTTCATGTCACGCAAAGAGAGAGTAATGATATAATAAAATAAACCGTATTTTCACTTATTTGTTCACACTTAAAATTTCATGTTGATGTTGCAAATAAATTTGAACCAAATAACTGAAAAACTTGCCTTGACGTAGAGAAGTGTATTTTTTTTTTAATGATTGAACCAAGAAGAATTAATAAATATAATAATTGATTAATGTATCATGAAGTAATGATTTTCATGTATGAAACAAATAGGTTAAGAAGTTTTTATTTAGAATGATTAATGATTTAGAAAATGGGCTTAACTGCCTACTGAATTTTGGGGAACCCAGAAGAATTTTTTTTTAAATTATTAATACAACCTCTCTATTTTAATTGACTAATGTAACTCATAATATCAGTAAAGCTAGAAAATTTTTAACTTTCAGAAATACTAGAGATTTTGTATTAAATTGTATTTTGTTTTCAAAATGTAAGAAAAATTCACAACAAATATAAAGCACTTTTGTTATGTATTTATTTATAAAGCTTTCGCTCTATGGTCAATTCCGTGTGTGAAGCGAGGCAAGAAATTGTTGCGTCTTTGCATAACTCATTATCGATTTCCATTGTCAGGGGACATCTCTAGTGCCGCGTATAAAATGTGCTTTGGGCGGCAGTAAAACATTCACAAGCGATTGAGCTTATTTCTGTATATATGTGATGCATGCATAAGGGCTACAAATCGAGGCGCAGGGTGAGCTGCTGTGTGTTGGTATTTATGCATGAGAGAACTGAATGATCGCGCTCTAATAAAATGCTGCGATATCGACGTGTCGTGTGCTCTTTTTCTTATTGATGCCATTTGCGTGGCGGAATTGCTCGCGAGAAAAGAAAAAGAGGAAAAGACGGGATGCAGCCATTAACACTCGTCTCGTGCTCGAGAGCGAAAAGAAAAGCAGAATAAATCACGATCGGCGCCGGAATGAAAATTGCCATCGGGCGAGAAAAAGGAACGAATTCTCTGCATTATAAATTTACCTGCTGATGTGCTGCGCTGCTTGCGGCTATTGGGAATTTTCCCGCTTTTATTGCTGCGCTCTATCTCGGTTAATCCGTAATGATTTATTCCGTCGGCGCACCAGCCGCTGCCCTCTCGCAAGGCGCTAAATATGCGGTCTTGAAGAGCAATTGATTTTGTTCGTTCCCTTCGGAAAAACAACGGCGCAGCAGAGATTGTTTTACTCTCAAGTAGAAAACAAAAATTGTGTTTCTTATTTTCTGTGGGTGAATCTAAATAGATCTAAAATTTTAGATTTTATTGCGATTTTGCTGATATCTTGCGTTCATTATTTATAAAATTCGTTAGAATTTGGGAGATTTAATCTTGTCCCATGCAAACAGAAAAATTATATTAAATTTTATTAATAATCTAGTCTCTCAATAGATATGTTTCTGATTATTTATAAGCACTGAAAAATTAAAACAATTTTAAGTATCGCTGCTAATGAAAATTTATATTTAAATGTGGAAAGTGAAGAGATTGGCCTTTCCTCGTTGTAAAATGGTTTTTATTGAAAAAATGAGGGTCTGCGACTCTCATGAGAGCGAGAAAAACACAAAAATCAGTAAAATTAAAAACAAATACCAACAAAAAATTAAAAAATGGCAAATTCAAGAGTACCGACCAACCTGTGATTGGAAAAATAATTAACCAAATGAAAAATAAGTCATAAATAAAATTTCTATAATATTTTGTTTTCACAAATATATAATTCCATTAAAAATCCCAACCCTTCAATAAATTATCATTTTTTTCGCTTCTTGAAATTTAAGATCTAAAAAAGGGGCCACGTTCAACTGCTATCAATCTTTCCTTTATAGGCGTTATCGTGCTACAGAAGCAATAAATTCCTCTCGATCCATTTGAGGCAAACAAGCAAGGGCAGCACAAATCGGTGGCGGCGGCGTCACGAGACTGGCAAAGCGTGTGCGTACCATCAATTGCGCATTACAAGAAGTGAAAGGGAAACTGCTGCGAGACCAGAGGACCATCAATATTCAATAACCGAAATTTAATTCCAAGGAGTGTTGAGGGACTCGGAGCTGCAGGAGAGTAGGCGAGATAATATTGACTTCCAATATGCCAGCCTCCAAATTCCATTACGCCCGAGCCGCGTATCAAAACACTGCCAATAACCAGTACACACTGGCGCGCCACAGATGGAAAATAATAATAATAATTCCGCCTCCGCGCGCACAGACGCTTGCTTCACCGGCCTAGTATTCAAGGGAGAAAGAGAGAGAGAGAGAGAGAGAGAAGCTCCGGAGCTTCTCTCTCTCTCTTGGCAGTGTTTATTTTCGCAAGAAATTTCCCACGTCTGCGAATGCTGCTGGCAGGAAAGGAAAAATATACAAGTTTGCTCTCACGCGTCTTTCCGTACGGGCTGCAAAAAGAACAACAATCTCTCCTGCAGGAAAGTCTGCCACTCTCGGAAAAAAGAGCCGAGCAGGAATATCGCCGCCAACGAGCTCTTTTGACAGCCAGACTCGAGCGGCTGGCAAATTACCACTGACAATTTCTCTCGCCACTGCTGGAAATTGGAGTCCCGCAATAGGGCCGAAAAGAACAAGGCCGAAAACGGCTGAGCGGAACAAGGCCGAAAAGGAATAGGGCCGAAAAGGAACAAGGCCGAAAGCTGAAAAATAACCGATAACCGCGAGCGCGTTCAGCTCAGCGAACATTCAATCCTTTGCGCGTCAATATCAAAATCCGTCATGCGGCCGTTTCGCATTGCAAAATAGATGAAAATTGATTTTACACAAGATTTCGCAAAAAATCTTCATTTTGGGCGAGACACATAATCACAAAATCACATAAATTTGGGGGACAACAAGATGAAGATAAGTTGATCTCTTGCACAGCTTAAAAAACCATACTGCATCGGAACTCGGAAAAGATCTTTCAAGAAATTATTTGTCCAGGAAACTTATCACTTATGTGTATAAACTTCTCAACCTTTTCCTATAAGATCATTGTAAATTTTTTATGTCCACTGACCTATTGATTTGAAAAAAAGCTTATTTTGAAAAAAAAAAAAAAAATCTAGGAAATTCTCATAACAATGCTAAATTTAAATTTCAAAAATTTGGTTCTCCTAACAAATTCATTTTTGTCTTAACTATGTCTCCTTGGAACTGACATAAAAAATCCAATGCTAAAATGTAGAGCAAAATTAATTGGGTCAATTTTTTGCAAAAGCTCTCCTTAATATTGAGTTTTCAAGTCTGCTGGTCAGTTTTTGGTTCACGTGTTTCCAGCATAAATAAAACCAGGAAACTGAAAATTTCCTCCCTACCACATATTAAATAATTTAGATATTTCTTACTTTGATTTATAAGGACAATGATAAAAAAATTTGTGTCCTGAGACCCGAGGCGTTCCATTTCTTATTGGGATGGCGGGTTGACATAACACGGTAATCGCGGTGATTTCCCAAAAAAAATCGGTTCTTCCTAGTTTGTTTGCACCGGTATTTCGGCCTTGTTCCTTTTCGGCCCTGTTCCGCTCAGCCATTTTCGGCCTTGTTCTTTTCGGCCCTATTCCGGCACTCCCTGGAAATTCAACTTGCGAAAAAATAGGTTCCTTCTTCCAGATTTATCTTTTCCCTTCCTTAAACAATAAACGCCAAATTCCCCAAAACTGTTAATTCCTTTTCATTCATCTCTATATTGGAATAATTGTGGTTTTATTGTTCCCCAAAGTAAAGATAAAATACATTTAATAAAAAAAAAATATTATAAGTAGGGTTTCTTTTTGTTTTAATTATTTTTAATCTTTGGCGCTCGTATCAGCTCGCACTTGGCGATTGTAAAAATCGGTGTAGGACCTTCTTTGCCAAGTTGACCCTCTGGCAATTTTGAACCAGAGAAACGCAGTCTCCGAACATCAACAACAAGGAAGCCTCGGCAGGTAGAAAATCGCGAGAGGGGCCACATGTGCGAGCGCGGGCCGATGAGACGCGGCGAAACAAGTAAATGAGTCCGGCGCGCGTTTAAAATATATCAATTCAAAGAAAGTAATAATTATGTTTTACCCTACCTTGTGGGCACGGCGATAGTCCCTGGTTCGTGAGGGGGTCATCGGCAGGTCGGCGAAATTCTTCGTCGGCTCAAATTCGGCGAGACACGGGCCTCAGAAGCAAGGAGAGGCGGACTTTGTTTCTGTTATCATTGCACATTTGCACAGCCCCACACACTCTCCCTCCATCCTGCTGGCGGTGGCTGCTGCTTGAAGACAGGAGCGAACAAGTCACGACAGGAATGAGGGACGTATGTAGAGGCAGGCAGAAAAATAAAAATCACATAGCGCTGATTTAAAATAATATCATTATAACGCGTTTAAAATAATCTTTATACAAAATACTTAGCTTGCAGCATTGATAGGTGATGAAAATGCATTTTGTGGAATTTTTTTCAAATGAATAATTTCATATCAAAGAAAATGTTTGCAAATAGAAAATATAAAAATGTTTCCATTTAAATTATCTCGCTTTTTTTTAGTCAGTGGTGTCAGAATTGTCCGGTCTTCATTTTCCTTTGCATAACTTCTTAAAGTGAAATTTTGATTTAGTTGAGATATATACATAAAATAATAATAATATTTTTTTAATATGATTTGTTTTGTTTCAGAATAATTAAAATTAAAGGTTCGCCATTTCACCTATCAATGCTGAAAATATGAAGATTATTTTTAAACGCGTTATTATGATATTTTTAATCCGCGTGTTCTCATTTTAATCGTTCTGCCTGCCTCTCTCGACACGTACATCTCTCATTCCTGTCCTGACTTGTTCACTCTCGTCTTCAAGCACCAAAAGCGCACGTATGAAGAGTATTTTGTGTGCAGCAGTAACAAAAGTCGCCTCTGATTGTTAGTGCCTCGTGCCTCTGCGGTCTGAATCTTGCTGAATTTGAGCCGACGGAGGACTTCACCGACCTGCTGATGATCTCAAAAGGACCAAGGACCATCACCATGCCCTCAAGGTAGGATAAAACCGCGAATATAATTTTTTTAAACGCGCGACGGGCTCATTTATTTGGTTTGCCGTGTCGCATCGGCCCGCTGGCTCATGTAGCCCCTCTCGCGTTTGTTGAGCCTGTCGAGGCTTCGTTGTTGTTATTC